ATTTTGTCAAACAAAACAAAATATTTTCAGAATCAATGATTGCAGGAAACTTAAATTACGGTCGCTCATATTAACCAGATTTGCCATGTTATTAAAAGATTGAACACTTATGATCATATTTTTGATTGAACATCCAGGCATTTCATTCATCTTTCGCGCTATTCAACTCATTTCAGAAATGAACAAAAAATAACAAATAAATGAAAACAACTTTTTGCCTATAATTTTGAATTAATCTAACAGGAAACGGGCAAAGCCTCAGGGCTGTATTTATGTAGTTTTACGAAGCTGTTCTACCTCCTTATTGAATCATGTTAATAACTTTCGATTATTCAAATTGGAAGTTAAGCCCTACTTTATGGAAAAATATATGTTCTCAAATCCTCGGTTTACGAGAATATATTATTTTCTTTAGGGAAATGTCTCGATTATTTGTTCGGATAGTTAATACAATTTAGGATACACCAATTTCCTATGCATCAACCCATATATAATTTTCAGGATAAAAATAATCATTTCATTATGCCAAGAGGAAGCCACCATATGCATGTATGTATGTACATGTTTGCATGCCAATGAGCCATTATTCGTACCGTCTTCCAACAATAAATTTGTCTCTGTAGTTGAACCAGCAACACCAGCACCTAGATTTGATGGTAACAACATTATAAGCCGGCGGCAAATAAACTAAATTGTCTCTCTCACTCTCTCTTTGTACATATATAAATGAACATGTTTTCTCATTATCCTTTATTTTATTTCAGACTTCTTCCTACACAACACCACCAAGTGTGTGAGTGTGTATGTCTGTCTGGCTGCTTGCTTGCGTGTGACTGACTCTATGTTGTTAATAAATTTATGTGTTAAGTCATTATGAATGTGTTTTATTTTATTTGGTTTCTCTCTTGGCGTTTTTATTTTTTCTTTTTCGCAAAAAATGAACAAAAATAACAACATTACCAGCCGACCTCAGTACCACCACCAGCAACATACGACCATACCAATGCCATTTTACCATGTCCTGTGAATTGGCTTCTGTGTTGGCGTCGGTGCCATGTAACGCCTTTTATTCACACCAAAGTTTGTCTTGGTGTAAAGATAAGATTTACAAAGGCAAAGAAAAAAAGTTGGTCGTTACATTGACTAAAGCTATGCCGAGTTTTTTTTTTGTCTGTCTTCTTTCGATTTTCCTTGTTACCAGAGTGTTAAGTGTTGTAAATCTTTATTGTCTGACAAACAGCATCCGAGGGTGTGTGTGTGTGAGGCTTTAGTTACAACGGAAAGCAGAAACGGATGAATATTTGGACCGACAAACGATATGCAAACCTATAGACTTTTTTTTGTTGCCGGCCCAATCTCAGCTCATAGCTATCAAAGGATATGGAGGGATACCCAGGATGCATGCGGTGGAGGTAATGTGTTGTCACATGTGTGAAAAAGTTTTTGAAAGCAAGGCTTTAATACAAAGAAATCTCTCACTATTTTTTTTTTTTGCTCTTTTGCGCCGTCTTTGTACCTTTCGTAGTTTTTGTTGCAAACTTATGCGGGATGTGGGGGGGGGGGGGGGGGGGAGTGAAACTATAAGTTGTTTGAAAGCTGTCTGCACGGAAGTCAAATCTGATATTTAACGAACCGTTCGTAGACAAAATGCTGCCTCTGTCTCTGATGGATTACACTTATCTGAATAATGTTTTCAAGTAAGCTTTTGATGAAGCTTTTTTTTTGTTTTTAAGGCTTTCCTGCGAAGATGGGGAAAGGTGTTACTTGGGGAATTGTAGAATGAAGCGAAAAGTAAATCAGGGAAAATATGAGAGGAAGAACAAGAACCAGATACAGATTAATTTTTGGTGGTCTCCGGTCTTCTCCAAACACTTCCTTCTCGGGATTTTAAGCCGTCTAGACAAACGTCCTTCTGCTCGTCGAAACCGACACATAGTGGGATGAGATCCTCAAAACAGAAGATTAATTCTGGGAAGCATTCTATAGCTTCGAAAATTTAATCAGGCATTTATATTACCCCATGGTACAATAAAAAGGTAAGGTAAAGCTACCAGCTGATTACATTTTTTTCTGAGTGTGCCTGACTTCTGCCAGTTCTGTGTATGTATCAATTGTTTTGAAAATAAAAAGCAGAATATTTACAAAATAAATGATAGGAAGACGCGTAAATTGCGAGACTCGCTTAAAAGCTATTATCCAGTTTTGCCATGATATTGACATATTGAACTGCTTAGATCATATTTTTAAAAGAAAATTCAGACATTTCATTCATTTTACCCGCTATTTAACTGATTTTAAAAATGAGGAAAAATATTAATTAAATGAAAACAATTTGTGGCATGCAAATTTGACAGGAAGCGGACATAGCCTCAGGGCTGTATGTCTGTAATTTTACGAATCTGTTCTACCTCCTTATTGTACTATGTATTACCCATAATATATTTGATATTATCAGCCCACTTCTTGGTATGACCACCATATAGTATCCCTTCCAGATTTTAGGTCTTTAGAATGATTTTCATGTGTAACATAACATAGTTCTGAGTAGATATAATCTCTTCATGCTAAAACTTTTTATGATTGCTTCTGTATTTGGTATAGGCCCCGTATTACAGTACCTCTTAATTTTTGGGGATATTGAGGGTATCGACCACATTTTTAAACCCAGTCATGAGTAAATTGACATTTTGAGTTCCACTGTTGTGTGGACCATATTAATAGCACTTCCAAATTTTAGATATGTTGAGAACTGTGAAGATAAATCCACTATTATATACAGGCCCTATATAGCCCTACTTTCTAATACAGCTATTAAAATTATTCTAGTGAGCTCATTACATAGTTTACAAGCGTACAAAATCATTTTGGTGAGAATTTCCAGAGAAAAAGTTATTCGTGACGGAATTCAAGCGTGATAGTGTGATTTCCTTATATTTGGCTGGAAAACCACAGGTGGCTATCGTAAGAGCATTCAAGCATTTAAATGTGTCTCGTACCATCGATCGTTACCGTGATACTGCTAGCGTAGCCCGACGTCAAGGAAGTGGACGGAAGAAAACAGCAACATCAGAAGAAATAGTTCCAAAAGTAAAGAAGCGACTTGATCGAAACCCGCGTCGTAGTGGCCGAAAAATGGCTCGTGAACTGACCATATCCCAATATTACAATCGGCAAATATTGAAAAATGAGCTCGGCGTAAAGCCATTGAAATTCCAAAATGTGCAGGAACTTACACGGCAAAAAGAAAAATAAAATAGACTCAAAAGAGCTAAAGAGTTGCTTCGCTTGGCCGAAAGTGGTGAACTGCGGTATTTGGTTTTCTCCGATGAGAAAACATTCGTTGTCCAGCAGTTTGTAAACAAACAAAATGATCGTGAGGTCAGCTGAAAATGTGCACCTTCGGTTGGCTACCAGAACTCAAGCGCCGGTCATGGCGATGGTGTAGACCGCCATAACAGCCGATAGTCGCTCTCCGCTTGTATTAATCGGCCGTGGCATCAGAATAAATGCCGAATATTATAGCGAAAATATTCTGGAGGGTGTATTAAAGCATTGGGCACGCAAACATTTTGGCCTCAGACCTTGGACATTCCAACAGGACTCAGCACCATCGCCCTCAGCACGCGCCACCAAAGAATGGTTACAAAATGAGGTTTCTCGCTTCATTTCCAGAGCACGATGGACACCAAAATCTCCGGATACAAATCTGTTGGATTATTGTGTCTGGAGTATTTTGGAAAGCAAGGTTGGCACTAAAAAATACCTGAGTGTCGATCACCTCAAGCAAGCGCTTCGCCGAGAATGGGCCAAAATACCGCAGAGTAACATTCGGGCAGCGTGTGACGGTTTCATTGGCCCTTTGAAGGCCACAATTCGTTCCAAATGTGACCAATTCGAACGAATCTAAACTTATTCTAAAATTTGATGCTATTTCCGACTTTTTTTGCTTTCATTCAATAAAATTTAAAAAAAAAAATCTGAAAATTATGGTGTTTTTAACTTTGATGCAGTCCTTTTATTTCACCCTGTAGAGTCCAGTGGAGTTTGATCTCCACGAACAGAGATAAATTCAAATTAGCATTTCGTTGCTCCCATCCATTTTAGACTCTTGTAAATTGTTCACCTTCTTAGCATCCCTAGACTCAACCTGGTGGTAATCTCATTGATATTGTGGTCGAATATAAAGATTTTATTTTGCTATCTTCTAAGCCTCCATAGACACTTCTGATTGTCTATGAAGACTCCCTAGAAGTAGTCTATACAGACTCACTTGTGGTAGCCTCTAGGGACTCCCATAAAGTTTCCTACTTATAGGGACTCCCATTAAGTACCCTACCTAAACCCTCTTCTCGTCCCTTCTGTGATCGCCTATATAGACTCCCCACTGACCATTTAAAGAGACTCTCGTCTGATCTCTGTAGAGACTGCCTTCAGATAGCATAAACCACCCTCTTAGCTGGTTTAAACCGTTAAGGCAATAGCAAATTTTTGAAAAGTTAGAAACTTTTATTTGTCATTCGTTTCTGTAATTGTGGTTTTTATATTAACATGCCTCTGTCTATGTCTTTGGTCATGAGCTGTTGCTTTATGTATTGTAGACACAAACCATATGCTAAAAATGAATTTTGTCTAGTTTTTACCATTTTAGGTCTTTGATTCCACTCTGGTCGTTATAGATAAACACCTGTGATAGTCTATGGAGTCTTCGTCCACCGTTTCTAAAGAGACGCCATCGTTGTTGCCAATAAAGACTTCTTTTTGGTCGTCTATAAATACTTTCTTCTGGTCACCAATAAAAAAAACTCTGGTCCTATAAAAACCCTTCTTACTGATTGTCTTTAGACATTTTCAATATCTATGAAGACTTCCTGTAGTCTCCCTTCTAGTCGTCTAGAGATTTCCTTCTGGCCGTCCATATAATTGTTCATCTTTTGCCTTTGTACAGTGGACATATTTTCCTAAGATTGGCAACCCTATTTAGTTTTTTGTTTTTTTTTTTTCTTAAATTTCAAAAAAAGTAATAGAATTTTTTTTATTTTTCGAAAAACTACAATTGAATTTTCATTACTCTCATAAACCAACAAGGAAAATGACATCTTCCAAAATAACCACATTCTTCAAGCCTTCAGCAGACGACAAAAATGAAGAACCCACCGATGGAGATGTAAGAACCTTAACGCTATTTCCAAAATCACAGAAGTTAAATAATCTGCCCCTTATTTTCAGAAACTTCTGCCAACGAAAAAGAAACTGGTCACGATGGACAAACGTGAGTCTAAGGAAAGTGTACTTCCTTCACGTCTTAGTTATTATGAATATGTCGATATGGAAGTACAAAGAGCTTTGGATCGAAGAGATTTTTTAAAAATTGAAGAGAATATTGATGGCGAAACGGTGGATGTAACACCAAAGCCCATCGATGTGGCATTTGATACGGAAGACTATAAAAAACTGAAAAAGACATTGGAATCCATACAGAAACGCCGTGGCGACTCGGAGGGTTTTAAGGGAACAGCCAGCTCTTTGATGCGAACTAAATCAAGCCGTGGTGTGGGCTTTCATCTGTCAATGGAAGATATCGTAACGGGGGTAAGAAAACAAAAAGAATAGAGATGGCTATAGTCTACAAAGGCGTATAGTTTCAAGTAGTCTATATAGACGAGTTTCAGGTCGAATATAGAGACGAGTTTTAGGTCGTCTATAGAGACGAGTTTTAGGTCGTCTATAGAGACGAGTTTCAGGTCATCTATACAGACGAGTTTTAGGTCATCTATACAGACGAGCTTCAGGTCGTCTACAGAGACGAGTTTCAGGTGCTCTATACAGACGACCTTCAGGTCGCCTATAGAGACGAGTTTCAGGTCGCCTATAGAGACGAGTTTCAGGTCGTCCATAGAGACGAGTTTCAGGTCGCCTATACAGACGAGCTTCAGGTCGTCTATACAGACGAGCTTCAGGTCATCTATACAGACGAGCTTCAGGTCATCTATACAGACGAGCTTCGGGTCGTCTATAGAGACGAGCTTCAGGTCGTCTATAGAGACGAGCTTCAGGTCGTCTATAGAGACGAGCTTCAGGTCGTCTATAGAGACGAGCTTCAGGTCGTCTATAGAGACGAGCTTCAGGTCGTCTATAGAGACGAGCTTCAGGTCGTCTATAGAGACGAGCTTCAGGTCGTCTATAGAGACGAGCTTCAGGTCGTCTATAGAGAGATGAGCTTCAGGTCGTCTATAGAGAGATGAGTTTTAGGCCGTCTATACAGAGACGTCCTGAGGTCGTGAAAGGGACGTCCTTGAGGTCGACTAAGGAGACGTCCTTGAGGTCGACTAAAGAGACGTCCTTGAGGTCGACTAAAGAGACGTCCTTGAGGTCGACTAAAGAGGCGTCCTCCAGGCTGTTTATAGGGATGTCCTCCAGGCCGTCTATAGGGACGTCCTTCAGGTTTTCTATCGTCATCCGTCATAGAATATCTTCTTGAAGTATTCTGTAACATGTTTTTGCTGGACAGAAGACCTTTGGCAAGACTTTTATGAATAGAAGGCCATTAATAGATTATGTAAGACATATGATAGGTTTTATATGAATATGAATTCAGGCCTTAATTGGCTTTGATATCCTTTCACAGAAGAAGAACTAAAAGAACTTTGCCCGGTCTTCAATAGATAGAAGGTAGGATGACCTATAAATGGAAGAAATGGAAGACCATCCACGTCTTTTATGAATGGAAAATCTTTAGCACGTCTAATGACTAGAATATCCTTAGCATGTCATCTATGATAGTATCACAGTGCTTCTGTGACTAAAGCATCTTCAGAGGTCTTCCAGGGCTAGAAGGTCTTTCAGAAGTCTTATAATTAATAGAAGCCCTGTCACAGGCTTTTTTTTTGGCTCCTTTCGCAGGTATTTCATGGCACGAAGACCTTTTAGAAATTGTCTATGAACAAGAGGTCTTTCAGAAACTATATTTGGCTAGAATAGCTTTCATAGAACCAATCATCGGATTTTAAAAATTAGAATCTTCTATTGTTAGATGATCCATTGAAGGTGTCTCATTGACGGAGGAATCCTTAACAGTTTTTCTATACAAAGAAGGCTATGTCCTATGTATTTTGTGGAGATAAGTCTTCTGACAGGTCAGATAAAAGAAGATCTTTGACACGTCTTCTATTTAATGAAAACTTTTAGGATGTAATTTCCTAAGTATTATATCAAAAGGAATCCTGAAGATGTTATTTTCCGATAGGAATCTGGTTATGAAAAACCTGGAGATATAAGTTCTTCTAAAAATCGACTGCAGCGAGACTTATTTTAACTAAGACTTCCTATTGCTCTCTCTAATATTTCACGCTCATATTTTTTTTCAGATTGGTAGCGAACGCATGCTTACCGACTTAAGAACCACATCATCCAGCCTCTCGCCTTACATAGATGTATCGAGTTCATCATCATCGTTGTCGTCACTCGAAGATCAGGCCAAAAAAGATTTAAAATCAAAATTCAACCTCCCCTTCATACGCGTAGTTCTACGTAAAACCGAACTAATTCTTCTATACGAACAACAGAGTATGACAGCGATACGAAACACCGAAGATGGTAACTCCGCCGAGCAGGATAACAAGCAATATGATTATTTGACAATTGGAAAAGGAAAGGTGCGACGACGTTCCGATGCTGAGACACAGACCAATGAAACGCTGTTTAAATCGCGCAAAGTCAATACAATACGCAAGGATACAACAAATACTGGCAGCTATGTATCCTATTTTGAAATGTTTGATACCTATCGCAAACTTGGAGAGCTAGATCCATTTTCGGAAGAGAGTGAAGGAGGCAAAGGAGAAAAAGAAAGTAATTACCAACAAAAAATGAGTCCAGAAGAACAATATGCCGCCATTTTAAAATTGCCCTCCTTTCATTGGGCCAGCACAGTGGTGAAACGTATGCTGGCCGGCAACAATTTTGAAAAATCCCAAAGAAGATTTCGTAATATGGATCCCATACCAAAAACAGTTAGCCAAATTGATTACAAATATTCTCTGAAGAATTTATTTACCATCCTGCCCTATGCTCGCGACAATGAACGTCGAGCTGTATCAGATATGAGTTTCTGCTATTCGAATAGTGACATCCTGGCCGTGGCCTATGGCATCTATTCATATCAAGCTGCAAAATTACCCAATACGGGAGAGGTGTGCATTTGGAGCATAAAAAACCCCTGTGATCCGGAACGTTACTATTTCTATAATTATCCGGTGGTCTCATTGGAGTTTTCACCCTATAGGGCCAATTTGTTGGCAATTGGCTTATTTGATGGCACGGTTGAGGTTCGTGATATTTCCAGATTCAATGAACCCCCTGTGGCCGTGTCACAGCGTAGCTCATCGCCAGGTGTTGATCCGGTATTGGCTATCAAATGGATTAAACAGGCATCTAGCGCAGATGGAGGTGATGAGATTGATCCATTTCTATCGCTATCACAAGATGGTTCGGTAACCCGATTCCACATTATAAGAAGTCCCCATTTGTTGGGCAACAGACAAATGGGTTTGGAGAGAATTGAAGGTAAACCCGAAGGGTTGCCGGTTACGGTCGTCAATGTTGCCACTCAAGAGGCCAATCCCCGTCCCCAGTGTTTGAATTTGACAAAACATCCTTTACATCCGGATATTTATTATATTTTAACGGATGAGGGATGTCTGCACAAGTGTTCCACAAATTATCAACATCATTATTTGGAGGTATTGAAAACCCATAAGGGTGCCGTAAATTGTATGGATTTTTCACCATGGTCTCCCAAGTTGTTCCTGACTTGCGGTAATGACTGGTAAGTTATTGGAATATTTGATTTTTTAGAATATTAAAAAATATCAAAATGTCACAGGCTGTAGTACCTATTAGGAACTTCAAATACGAAATTTCAAACAATTTCGGTGAATATTGTGTGGGTCCTCTACGAAGACATAAACCTGCATCGGCACTTTTCTGACATAGGCTATTTTTTCCAATAAAAACTCTAAATATGAAATTTAAAACATTTCCGGTGAATAATGTAGCCAATATCATAAAAATACCGAATATTGCGGGGTACTTTATATAGAGGCAATACGAAGACCTGGACCTGCATACAAAATTTTTCTCATAGGCTGTAGTACCCATTACGAAATTTTGAAACAACTCCGGTAAATAATGTCCCTAAAATCGTCAAAATATCGAACATGGGGGGGGGGGGGGGGCGGGCGTGGTATATGAGCTATACGATGTTGGCGACCTATATAGACATTTCTCTTCCAGGGGGTAAATTGCTAATAAAGAACTTCTTCCGTTATATAGGGGAAATATGATACCGTAGATAATGTAGACAATACTCGTTCAGGGGGTAAAGTACTCGGAAGGAACTCCTTTTGCAGAATTTCCGACAGCGTCATTGAAAAATTTGGCTGCAATCATCAAAATACCGAATATCGGTACCCCTTATATGGGGGCTATACGATATCGTGGACCGATATAGCCCATCTTTGAAATTCATCTGACTGCAGATAAAAGACTGATCTGTGCTAAATTTTAGCTTCCTATCTTCATTCGTTTTGACTCTAGCGTGATTACAACAGACGGAAGGACGAACAAGGCTAAATCGAATTAGAATTTTACTTATTTATTATTTGGTTGGAGGGTATAACAATTGGAGCCATGTATTCCATGCTCTAGATTTGATACGACGAGAAATATCCGTACATCTCAAGGATGTTAAAGTTTTCATATTTCATGAAGTTTTGATTATTCAAATTTTTGACTCTTTCGCATTACGATGTGCAGAATATGGACTGAGGCAAGGCTCTTCAAAAATTTTGAACATTTTTATGAAGTTAGCATAAAAATTAATTTTATTTAAAAAAAAAAAAAAAAACTAATATCACTTATGACGAAGATACCAAAAGAAGTGGTCCAATATTTCAAAAGTTGGACAAAGCTTGACATACAGGGTGACATGACAAAACTGCAACCAATTTCAGATTGCTGTCATTTCTACGACACTCGTCCGACAGCTCTTAAGATAATTCCAATGACAGCTCATTATATTGTTTACCAGCGTACAAAAGCATTTTGATGAGTATTTTCCAGAAAAAAGTTATTCGTGATGGAATTCAAGCGTGATAGTGTGATTTCTTTATATTTGGCCGGAAAACCACAAGTGGCTATCCTTAGAGCACTCCAGCATTTGAATGTGAATAAAACTTTTGTGTCTCATACCATCGCTCGTTACCGTGATACTGGTAGCGTAGCCCGACGTCAAGAAAGTGGACGGAAGAAAACAGCAACATCAGCAGATATGGTTCGAAATGTAAAGAAGCGACTTAATCGAAACCCGCGTCGTAGTGGCCGAAAAATGGCTCGTGGGCTGAACATGTCGCAATATTCCATTCGGCAAATATTGAAGACTGAGCTCGGGGTAAAGCTTGCCAAAGAGGCCACATGAAAATGTGCACCTTCGGTCGGCCACCAGAACTCAAGCGCCGGCCATGGTGATGGTGTGGGCCGCCATAACAGCCGATGGACACTCTCCGCTAGTATTAATCGACCGTGGCATCAAAATAAATGTCGAATATTATCGCGAAAATATTGTGGAGGGTGTATTAAAGCCTTGGGCCCGCAAACATTTGACACTAAAAAATAACAAAGTGCCGATCACCTAAAGCAAACGCTTCGGCGGGCATAGACCAAAATACCCCAGAACAACATTCGGGCAGTGTGTGACGGTTTCATTGACCGTTTTAAGGCCATAATTCGTGCCAAAGGTGACAAATTCGAACAAATCTAAACTTATTCTAAAATTTGATGCTATTTCCGACATTTTTTGCTTTCATTCAATAAAATTTAAAAAAAAAACAAGTAAGCAAAGGCTATAGTCGAGCGAGGCCGACCATGTGATACCCCCTAATGTCCATATCCATTTTCGATGATCCTAATTCTCTTCTCAGGAAGAATACCTTGTCGATTGGTTTCAATTGTGTGATCAGGAAAATTTTTGTGGTTTTGATTCATTTGACCCCTAAATATTTTGCGACAATCTCCAAATTTAAGATGCCCCTCCGTAACTCCAAATTCAGACTCGTCTATATGATTTGCTTGTCTACAATATTTGGCTATATTCGTCAACAAAATCAGCATTAAGAAAAGTTCGCCTCTTGTGTATTGTGGATTTCGCCTTTAAGTTATTTTCAGGGTTTCGGTGGAATGGAAACATCGCTATATATATCCTATATTTTTACTTTCGGCATCTACGTAGCGGTCAGAATTGACCAGTTCGGTTAATTGTGATTTCGCCTGAATTTAAAAATATTCGTGGATTAATGGAAAATTTGAGTTTTATTTAATATAAATGTTATGGTCTATTTCACCCACTAAAAATTACCCGATGACCATCAAAATTGGAACGCTTCTGCCCAGCTCTAAGCTCTAGCCACATGCTAACTGCCGCTTCGATTGGTCTATAATTGCGACCTGTAGAGCAACTGCAAAATCAACCCCAATATCATGCGATCGTCTCCAAAAGAAATAGGGTTCTATTCTGACGTAAACCCCACCTCCATTTTCAATTTCTTGAGGATCGGATCGAGGATGAGGATCAAATTAACATGGACAGACAGACGGACATACATAGCTAGATCGACTCAGCTCGGCGAGCTAGAAAGATCCATACATACTTTCCTATGTGGGAAACCAATATTTCGAGGTGTTACATAATTTTTGGCCCAATCAAACTTATAATACCCCTAACGCATAGTGTTGCAGGGTATAAAAATTTGTTATTGCGATTGACTTTGTTGCTGTTTATTATCTCACCCTGTATATACTTTGTAGGGTCCAACATGCGTTTATCGAGAAGTTGCAAATGAAATGACAAAGTTACTAAAGCCTCCATAGAATGGTGAAGACTATAAAAGTTGTCTCATTTGCGGATTTTGATCCAAGAGCGTAATTGGGTAATTTATCAGGGCATGTTGAACAAGTTCTTTTTTTACAAAAATTGAAGAGGAGGATATTGGCAATATTGATCAAATTTGAGGTTCGAATTTCATTAAAACCTGTGGTAGATCTATCCTACACCCAATAAGCGACCCTCCTTCCAAAATTCAGAATTGCACATTTGTCCAATACAATTGATTCAATTGTTATTTCATTTTAGTCTTTTTATGCACGTATAGTTCGAACTTTATAAAATCAAGCTTTATCTCACCTCTACACCCCAATCTGGGCAAAATTTCTAAATCGTCTGGATGTCGATAAATCCATCAGTCCCCCATCACACTATTCTTTTATATATAAATACGAATTTCCTTAAAAGCGTATCTTCCGCTCTCTATAATAAAATAAATATGACATTTTGAGAAAATTTGAGCTATTTTCCAGGTATATTCGAATTTGGATGGAGGGCATATTTAAGCCGCTGATAACCTTGCAAAATATGTACGGCCCATATCAATGGGCAGGGTGGAGTCGAACACATTCTACCGTTTTGATAGCGCTAAATCGAAAACAATGTGAAATTTGGGATCTAAAGAGAAGCACTCTGAAACCAGTTTCCGTACATACTTTGGGATCGTCCTACAATACTTTGGCGTTGTAAGTAAAAAATGCGACATTTTATAGAAGAAGTAGCTGAAATTTAATTGAATATATTTAGCATTAGTTGTTTGCTAAGCAAAAGTCTACTGACGTATATCGAAGTACTATTTCACTTCCTTTGTCTTCCCTAGATTTTCACGTGACGGTAATTCCATAGCTATTGGCAATGAACGTGGCAAAGTTTTCATGCAGGCTTTCGAAGAGATGCCATTCGCACCACACTATCAATACGATGCCCTGGAAAAGGCCATATTGAATGCTGTTAACAATTTCCCCGAACTCTTGATTGAATTGAAAAGTTTGGGCTATTTTGGTTATCCCAGCAAGGGTATGGTTATACCACCATAAAATGTGGATACACATATATCTGTGTGTATATATATGTGCTAGTAGATTATTTATAAATGTGGCAATTTTTGTAAGCCATTAAAACCTTAATTCTTGCAATGCTATTAAATTGGAAACTTAACAATTTTTTTTTCCGCAGCACATCATTCATCGTTTTTTTTTTCAATTTAACAACAACACCATTTAAATGAAATGTTAAATTGAATTGAAATAAAAAAATGCATTTAATTTTGATAATAGAGAAGCATCTGGTTGGAATCTGCATTTTCGGCGTTATTCCAATTTTGTTAATGGAATTATTTATAATCTGTTTTTGGAAAAGTATTTTTACAGTAACTCTTAGCTGACTGTTAAAGAGTTTAATCTGATGCGAGTGGATGCAATTGGGCAAGTAGAAAAGGTTGAGGGTCAGGATTATGATTTAAATGAAAGCAATTGATGGAGTAGAAAAGTGAGAGAAAGCATAAGCTCTCAGCGTTTAAATGTTTAAAAATTAAGTGATTTAGAACATGACCTGTAGCTGATTAATAATATCCGACATTCATGCAACATGGATCACCACAATTTTTTAGAAAAATACGAATATTTTTAAATAATTATCATATTTTTTCAATATTTATTAATGTCTCCTCCCTCAACATTTTGCACCACAATGTTGAGGGAGGAAAAACAAGTTAAAAAGTATAGGTCGGTCTTGCCGATAGATGAATACCCTCAGCCATGGCTCGATTATTTAAATAATTTTTTTTTGGAATTGTTGAGCCTCTATGGAGTACGTTATGGGATGGGCCAATATTGTCCATTTCGTATCGGGCCTGAATAAATATGATTTAAATATTGAGGCATGTTAAGATGTGCATGATGTACCAGATATTGTCGTCCGAAGTATTCCATTCTCGTGCTTCATCAAATAAAATATAAGAAAATCGAACATTTATGTCCAATTTTATGTGAAATAAATTCCTTATTCATCCCAGGTTCTTGGTTTAGAGAAATATTTAGATATAGCAAGTTGTAAAGAGTGACCACCAGTTTTGCCAGATAAGAGTATTGAAAATTGTGACACTTTTTGGGTGAGATACCAGAAGGGGTTCGAATATATACAACATCTTCACAAGAGATATTTTAATAGTAAAAATGTTTGTGTGTGTGAATTTTGAAGAGAGATGGGTGCTTATTTCGCTTTCCTTGAGCGTTTTGTTTTTCAAAAATCTTGAACCCTATGTGGGGGAGGTACCAGAAGAAAACGCCCGATCACTACAATATTTATAACTGATCTTGTGTTCATTGAGATGCACCAAGTCCGAAGGGATTCGGATGTTAATTTCGCGTTTTATGTGCTTCATGGATTTTCAAAATGTTTGCCCTTTGTCCAGAAGGAGTGGACTGATATAATCTATCTGCACAACAGATATTGTGTTAGTAGAATTAATGCGAAGTGTGAAATACGAAGAGAACCGGATGCTTATTCCGTATTTTGCAATAATTTTGGTTTTTCAAAACATTGACCCTATGTGGGGGAGGTACCAGAAGGAAACGCCCGATCTCTACAATATTTATAACTGATCTTGTGTTAATGCAAATATTGAGATGTACCAAGTCCGAATGGATTCAGATGTTAATTTCGCGTTTTTTGAACTTCATGGATTTTCAAAAAGGTTTGCCCTTTGTCCAGAAGGAGTGGACTGATATATTCTATCTGCACAACAGATCGTGTTAGTAGACTTAACGCGAAGTGTGAAATATGAAGAGAACCGGATGCTTATTCCGTATTTTGCAATAATTTTGGTTTTTCAAAACATTGACCCTTTGTGGGGGAGGTACCTGATGAAAAGGTCCGATCTCTACCATCTTTATAACCGATCGTGGGTTTATGAATATATTGAAATGTACCAAGTCTGAATGGAATTCGATGTTAATTTCGCGTTTTATGAGCTTCATGGTTATTCAACATTTTGAACCTTTGGAGGAAGCACCAGAAGGAGTTGACCGATATATCCCATCTCCACAGCAGATCTTGTGTTGCCTAAAGTGTTTGTATTTGTCAAATTTGAAGAGAATTTAATGCTTATTTCGATTTCTTTGAGCCTTTTATTTTTCAAAATCTTGAAATCCATGTGGTGGAGGTACCAGAAGAAATGCTTCGATCTCTACCATCCTTGTATCAGATCTTGTGTTGATAGAAATATTGAGATGTGCCAAGTCTGAATGGAATCAAATGTTAATTTCGCATTCTATATATAGTTATCCCAAATGTTGACCCTCTGTGTGGGAGGTACTAGAAAGAGTTGTCCGTTAAATCCGTTCTTCATATCAGACATTGTGTTAGTGGAAAATATTGAAATGTGCGAAATTTGAAGATAATCGGACTCTCAGTTCAATATTTATAAACGTTTTAACTAATTTAACATTTTATCCTATGTGGGGATGGTACCAGAAAGGGTGATTCCATATCAACCATCTTTACACCAGATTTTGCTTAAGTAGAAATATTAGGATGTGGAAAATTGGAAAAGAATCGGATGTTAATTTCGAGTTTTTTTGAGCTTCATGGATATTTAATATGTTGACCCTTTGTTGCACCAGGAGGAGTGGACCGATATTATTCTATCTTCACAGCAGATCTTGTGTTAGTAGCCATAATGGGATGTATGAAATATGAAGAGGACCGGATGCTTATTTCGGATTTTATAATAGTTTTATTTATTTAAAACTTTGAACCTTTGTGGGGGAGTTACCTGTAGGAATGGTCCGATCTCTAGCATCTGTATAATAGGTCTCGTGTCGAAAGAAATATTAAGTTCTACCATATCTGAATGGAATCGGTTTTGAATTTTGTGTTTTACGAACTTCATAGATATTCAACATTTTTAACTATTGTGCGGGAGGTACCAGAAGGAGTGGATCTATATATCCCATCTTCGCAGCAGATCTTAAGTTGGTAGTAATAATGAGATGTATGAAATATGAAGAGAACCGGATGTTTATTTCAGATTTTATTTTCGTTTTGGTTATTCAAAATTTGACCCTTTGTGGGGGAGGTACCATAAGGAATAGTCCGATCACTACCATCTTTGTAACAGATATTGTGTTGGTGGAAATATTGAGATGAGCCAAGTGGATATTCAAAATTTTTACTTTTTGTGGGGGAGGTACTTGATGGGGTATATTGTCCATTTTTACACCTGACCTAGCACTGGTGAAATTATTAGTATTTGCAGTTGGAGTCAAATCGGGTGATGCTTTCTTTTTCTGTGCAAATAAATATTTTTTTTTTGTTCTTGAAAAAAATGTTGACTTCTTATGGGGGTGATACCTGAAGGAGTGGACCGATATTGTTAGGTTTGACAATAATACGATTTACCAAGTGTGAACCAATTCTCCCTTAGAGTTATTGTGTGCACCAGCGAGGCAGACAGACAGATGGACGGGCATCGCTAGATCGCCTCCAAATGTCCTGAAACGGATTTGATCCAAAGAGACCTAGGGTCTAAAAGTGTTATTTCGATGAGGCACGTTTTGGCCGCATAAAAGAATGTCTACCACCTCTAGCCACATGGCTGAGGGTTTTTGATACGATGTCATAGAGCCCTACCCTTAGATTTTTGACCGGGGTATTTCCAGAATATTTACGCACTTCGTCGTGTTATTAGGTATTCAAAAAAGTTTTAACGAAAGTTGTGGACCATTTTACTGCTAAATATAATCCAATGGTCTCCCAAAATGCTAGACTTCTCCCCTGCACTTAAATCTCTTCTCATTCAAGGGACCATTCCGAATTGATGAGAATTGAAAAAAAATCTCTCCAGCGGTTCTTGACTTATAAGTAGATATATTTCTTTTACATATATATGGTACATATTTTGCTACATATCCGATATCTTGGCTCTTAGCATCACTGTTATGGTCAGAAGTGTCCTTTAAATGTATTTGTAAGTTGGCCGGGATCAACAGTATTCGCGGTTTAGTGGAAATTTTCGTATTTTTTGATAACAAAAAGTTATGGTTTATTTTGCCCGCTAAATATTGTCCGATTACCATCCAAATTGGTTAGCTTCTGTCCAGCCCTGAACTCTAACTCCGTGGAAGTTTCCGCGTTGATTGGTTCATAATTGTGTCCAAAAGAGCAACTGCAAACTCAGAACTTTTTTGGTCCATTTCAACCCTATTTTAACTCCAAAAACAATAGGTTTCTATCCTGACTGTTTAATTTAGAATTGTATTAAATATTGCTTTTTATTGACCCCTGGTTTGGTCCTTAATTATTCGTTAAAATGTACGCGCTACGGTTTATTGCAACCTTGTGCTAGCGCCTTTGACATTTTAACGAGTAATTAGTTGTCACTTGTTTTGCCGCCTCCTTTAGACATCTAGTAGTATTTCGCTGTCATTCGGACAGACAACACCGGCAATATCGTTTGCAGCACATATCGTTGTGCATAGAAAGGCATGTTGTTGCCACAGGTAAAATTGTTACCAAACACCAAACTAGCAATAAATACTTGTATATATTAAGGAAAACCCCTGTGTTTTATTTCTTTTTATACTTCCCCCCTACGGTCCACTGCTCGACGCATTCGGCGTTTTACTCCCATCGGCGGAGCCCCTCTGAGCTAAACACTGACCCTAAACCCACTCCATTTTCCATTTCAACCTCTAAATATTGTGCGATCATCTCCAAAAACAAAAGGGTTCTATTTTGACCCTAAGCCCGCCTCAATTTTCAATTTCGTGAGGATTGGGCTACAATTTCAACCTGTAGCGTGATTACAAATTAACATGGACAGACGGACGGACATACATAGCTAGATAGACGGACTTACATAGCAAGACGGACGAACGGACATACATAGCTAGATCGACTCAGCTCGGCGAGATAGGGAGATTTATATATAGTTTCCTATATCGGAAACCATTATTTCGAGGTGTTACATAATTTTTGGCCCAATCAGACTTATAATACCCCCAACACATAGTTTTGTAGAGTATAAAAATAAAATATTTTCAAACTGATTTCCTTCACTCCCTTCGATGCTTTTGAATTCCATCACAATTCTTGGGCATCATATTTACATCCCAATTAATTATGAAGTTAGAAATGATCAATCGGTTTGAAATCAGGTTTATCACCTTCTCTAATTTCATTTTCACCAATAA